GTGGGGGTCCCCACTGGGGTGCCTGGCCAGCCTGGATGAGGGGCTGATGGCTGTTTTCAGGCTGGCCATACCCTCTTTAGGGTGGGGGTCCCCACTGGGGTGCCTGGCCAATCTGGGTGAGGGACTGAGGGCCATTTTCAGGCTGGCCGGCAACTGAAGCTCCTAGCCTCTCCTTTTTTTCTTTTTTTTTTAATTCTGGGATTTATTTACCTTCTATAATTGAAACTTTGTTGCCGTCACTGGAGCTGAGAGCCTGGCTCCTGCTTACTGCAGCTCTGAGGCCATGGCCTGCTGAAAGCAGGTATCTGGGATTTGTTTAGCTTCTATAGTTAAAACTTTGTTGCTTTCGGAGCTCAGAGCTGGGCCGCGGCAGGCGGGGAACCTTGGCTTCCTCCATCACTGGAGCAAGCAAGCCTCCTGTTTGCTTCAGCTGCGTGGCTGCCGGCCGCCATCTTAGTTGGATTAATTTGCATATCTTGCTGATTAGCCAATGGGAGGCATAGCAAAGGTACGGTCAATTACTATGTTTGTCTATTATTAGATAGGATTTCCTTGGGCAAGGGAAACAAAAGAAAAAATAAACAAATGGGACTATATCAAAGTAAAAAGTTTTTGCACAAGAAAGCAAACCATCAACAATACAAAAAGACAACCCACTGAATGTGATAACATATTTGCCAATGATACATATGATAAGGTATTAATATCCCAAATTTATAAAAACTCATAGAACTCAACACCAAAGAAACCAACAGTCCAGTTAAAAATAGGCAGAGGACCTGAATAGATATTTCTCCAAAGAGGACATACAGATGCACAATAAACATATGAAAGGATGCCCAGCTGGTGTGGCTCAGTGGTTGAGCATTGACCCATGAACCAAAGAGGTCACCAGTTCATATCCCGGTCAGGGCAGATGCCTGGGTTGTAGGCTCCATCACAAGTCGGGGTGTGTAGGAGGCAGCCAATCAATGATGTTTCTCATCGATGTTTCTATCTCTCTATTCCTCTCCCTTCCTCTCTCTCTCTAAAAATCAATTAAAAAGAGAAAAGATGCTCAATGTAACTAATTATCAGAGAAATGCAAATTAAAACCACAGTGAGATATCACCTCAACTGTCAGAATGGCTGTCATCAACAAATCAGCAAATAACAGCTGTTCGAGAGGATGTGGAGAAAAGGGAATCCTTATGCACTGTTGGTAGGAATGCAGATTGGTGCAGCCACTATGGAAAATTTTATGGAGGTTCCTGAAAAAATTAAAAAATGGAACTGCTCTCGCCAGCGCTTTCACTCTGGGAATATGTCTGAAGAAACCCAAAGCACTCATTCAAAAGACTGCCTGCATCCCTGTGTTCATTTCAGTGTTGTTTACAATCGTCAAGATATGGAGGCAAACCAAGTGCCCATCAGTGGAAGACTGGTTAAGTAAGAATTTGTATGTATATACAATGGAATATGAGTCAGCTATAAAAAGAATGAAATCCTACCATTTGTGACAGCGTGGGTGGACCTAGAAGGCATTATGCTGTGAAATAAGTCAGTCAGAAAAATACAAATACCATCAGATTTAATTTATTTGTGAAATCTAAAGAACAAAACAAAGGAACAAATAAAATTATAACAGACTCAGAGATACAGAGAACAGACTGATGGTTGCCAGATAGGAGGGGGCTGGGGGACCTGGGTGAAAAAGGTGAAGGGATTAAGAAGTACAAATTGGTATTATTGCTGGTTTGGCTCAGTGGCTAGAGCTGTGATGGCGAACCTATGACACGCGTGTCAGAGGTGACACGCAAACTCATTTTTTTGGTTGATTTTTCTTTGTTAAATGGCATTTAAATATATAAAATAAATATCAAAAATATAAATCTTTGTTTTACTATGGTTGCAAATATCAAAAAATTTCTATATGTGACACGGCACCAGAGTTAAGTTAGGGTTTTTCAAAAAGCTGACACACCGAGCTCAAAAGGTTCACCATCACTTTCCTAGGGAGCCAAGCCAAGGGGTTCTCTCTGCCCTTAGGAAACTTGGCTCCCCTGAGCCTTGCAGACTTCAGCTTCTTTTTGGTCATGAATTTGCAGGAGGCAGCCAATCAATGATTCTCTCTCATCATTGATGTTTCTATCTCTCTCCCTCTCCCTTCCTCTCTGAAGTCAATAAAAATATATTAAAACAACAGCAACAACAAAAACGCAAATTGGTATTACAGAGTAGTCACAGGGATGTAAAAGTACAGCATAAAGAATATAGGCAGCCCTAACTGGTTTGGCTCAGTGGATAGAGCATTGGCCTGCGGACTGAAAGGTCCCAGGTTCGATTCTGGTCAAGGGCATGTACCTTGGTTGCGGGCGCATCCCCAGTGGGGGGTGTGCAGGAGGCAGCTGATCGATGTTTCTCTCTCATCTATGTTTCTAGCTCTCTATCCCTCTCCCTTCCTCTCTGGAAAAAATCAATAAAATATATTTTAAAAAAAGAATATAGGCAATAATATTGTAATACTTATGTGTGGTACAAGGTGGGTACTGAAATATCGGGGGGCTCACTTTGTAAAATATGTGATTGTCTAACCATGATGTTGTAAACCTAAAACTAATACAAAATAATGTTGACTGTAAACTATAATTTAAATTTTTCTAAATAATTTAAAAAAGAATATAAATGCTTTTTGGAGGGTTCAACAAGAAGCCAGTTAGAGTTGAGTAAGTCATTGGTCAAAGACCCTGAAGGCCACAAGGCCTCAGAGGAGTGCAGTCTCTATAGTTCCATTTGGAGACCCCGGTCAGGAAGAAGGAACATGTGTGACTTGGCAGACCCTGGGGTGCGGCTGACTGAGCAGGGCCAGAGCACGTGTATTCAGGGGATGGGTGGGGCATAGGGGAAGGGGGTGATCTTGGGTTCAAAATGGGCAGGGAGGCCTGTGAGTGCAGCAGGGATGGGAAGGAATGGACCGTGGAGAGGAACCATGCTGGGAGGGAGTCTGGTAGCGGGACAGCTGGAGGAGGAGCAGTGAAGTCAGAGAGGGCCCTTTAGATGCAGAATCCTGGCAGCAGGACAGTTGAGTAGCTGGGCACACCCCAGGTGTGATGGAACTTGTCGGGGACTGAGGCTGCCATTCTTCAGATTTTTTGGGTCTCTTGTTTTTCCCTAAAATTAGTTTTAACATCTGCTTTAATACCAATAGTCACGCCTTTCTTATTTATGGCTAATTAAACAAATGCAACCATATGCAGAGCCTCACTCAGTCCTCACACAGCCTGGGAAGGAGGTGCATTGTGGGTGGCAGGTGTGTGGCCCTAGAAGCAGAAGGTGGTCCCTGTTGGAGTGGCAGGACAGTGGGGAGGTTTGTCCCCAGAGCCAGACTTGTCTCAGGGCTACATGACCTCTTAAGATTCCTTTAGGCATATGAATTTATCTGGCACTAAGGTAGTGCTTTTTTTTTTAAAGATTTTTTAAAAATTTGATTTCAGAGAGAGAGGGAGAAAGAGAAACATTGATCGGTTGCCTCTTGTACACACCCCAACCAGGCATTAAACCTGAAACCTGGACGTGTGCCCTAACTGGGAATTGAACCCAGGACCCAACTACCACCCAGGGCTAAGATAGTGCTTTTTAAAAAGAAAATATATTACCACCAAACCATCAATGCAAGAAATGCTAAAGGGTCTGCTGTAAAAAGAAAAAATAGGAAACGAAGAAGGAACACAGGGCTAAAGAATAAAAATGGCGACAAACAAGTACCTATCAATAATAACTTTAAATGTAAATGGATTAAATGCCCCAATCAAAAGACATAGGGTAGCTGAGTGGATAAGAAAACATGACCCATATATCTGCTGTCTATAGGAAACCCACCTCAGAAAAAAGGACTCACACAGACTGATGGTGAAGGGATGGAAAAAGGTTTTTCAGGCGAATGGAAATGAAAAAAAAGCTGGGGTAGCAATACTTATATCTGACAAATTAGATCTCAAAGTGAAGGACATTAAAAAAAAAAAGGAAATATAACAGTGAATTGTAAGCTGACAAACTTCTTGTTCCTCGCCGCATGTTTACAAAAGAGCCTTGCCTTTATGTTTTCCTAGGGAGGGTGCGCCGGACCGTGCCTCAGAGCTCCTTCTGCACTAACCACAGCTTCCGGGGCAGTGGTCTCCGTCTGTAACTACTCCCTCTGGGTATGTCTTACAGGGAGAGTTTATGATTTAGAGCTAAACTGGAAAGTCATCCAAAGAAATGGTTTGGTTAACACAGAACTCAAGTTCCTCTCAGTAAGAATGAGTGTGTATAGTTAGGCTTTATAGACATTTACAAAGAGCAATAAATTTCTATACTAGATGCTTATGTCAAATTTAGTATTTTATTTAGTACTAGTGGCCCAGTGCACAGATTTGTGCACATTAAAAGGAAATTAATTAGAAGAAATATTTTAATATTGCTATTCGCCCTTTCTCTATAATACTAGAAGTGTCAACCAAATCACAATTGACAATGACAGATGGAAACACACATGTGGGATTCATGCCAGCAAGAGCTTTATATGTATCGCGCATGCACGAGTCAACTTAGCCTTTTATATATATAGCATAAACTTGCTTAATTAGACCTGTTTTCTGATGTATCTAAACTTTTTCCAGCCCGGTGAAGCACCCCAACTTCTCTTTCAGGCAATTGTCAGCAACACAGCAGTAAATATCAACCTGAAGCACATTATTATTGTAGATCATGCAGGGAGAACAAAGGGTAAAATATTTAGCTGCAGCAGTGTTTGACTATTCTGTGCAGTGAGAAAACCTGAAGTCATTTTCAAGGTCCACCATTTCTTACTTCTCTTCAGTCGGGTCAAATTTCTAAGCTTTCTAAATCTCCGTTTTCTGGCTAATGAAAAGAAAATAGGATTCCACCAAGTCTCCTATCTACCTACTCCAGGACTTCTGTGAGGATCAAATGAGATGAGGCATGGGAAAACGCTTCACAGACATTTGGTTAAAGTATAAAATGTTTGCACCTGGCTATAAAGCAAGTCGTGTTCCTGGGCTGAAGAAACTCGAAGGAGGCTAGTCCCTAGGTAGAGGAAGCTGGGTGTTGCTATGTGACGTCATTACCTGGTGCCCACAGTGACTGTTTCTGGGCTGGGCTGGGCTGTGGGCTGCATTTTGCGCCACGGGGTCTCTGCAGCGTTGGCTGTGATTTGGTGAGCTGTCGCTCTGGGGTAGTGGCGGGGCCTGTGCCCCACTTGGGGGAAGCCAAGTGTTGCTTTGTCGGCGCCAGGTCCGCGGTGCCATTTCTTTGTAAATGGCCAGTGCGTGTCATGGCAGCTCCTGTGTTGAGTGTCTGCCCCCTGGTGGTCAGCGTGCATCATAGCGACTGGTCAGACAGTTGGAGGGAACACTTAGCATATTAGCTTTTTATATATATAGATATTAGCATATCCATTTTGACCTGCTAACTCATCAGATAATTTCTATTTATAGTCATTTTCTGGTAATAAATACAGGATCTGTGGCTGACTCTATGAAACTTAGCAACCCAGGCAGTTTTCACCCTTTCTTGGCCCTGGGGGTGTGCCCTTTTACCCTGCCTCATAGCACACTCTCTTGGGCACCTCTCTGCTGTACTGTAGGATCCTGAGGACTCTTACAGGCTTTGCAAAAATTAGTCAAACATCTGTTTGAAACCCATTTAGAGTCATTTTCATCTTTTGGCTTTGTCCTAGTTATTTTTAGGTTTGATAAATTTATTTTCCAAGAGCAAAAGAGGACATACTTAGGCTTTGATGTTTGGCTAAGGTTTAGAAAATTCTGTTTTGTGGAGAGCTGGCGGGTTCCCCCTGCGGCACTTGTGAGCTTAGCCTGCACAGAGGGTTCCTTCAGCGTTGGTCTGGACTCAGGACCCAGCTCCTGGAGTCAGACCCCCTTACACTGCCCAGCCCCATGAAAATGAACACCTACACGGGCCCCTGTAGCATCACCGCAATCTGTTCTTAGAGAACCCACAAGTAGAGATTTCATAGTCTCTGCAAAGGAAGTCTCTTCCCGGGTCTAATTATTTCTGCAATTAAAAAAGACTTTCTTGAGTTGAGCTTACTTTCTGTAGTGTAAGCCAACAAGTCACAAAAAGAGTCTGATGCTCTCAGGATACATAATTGTTATGTTTAAACAGTATATTTCAAATTAGAAAATGGTTTCATGTTCATTATAACTAATGTAAAAAATCTTAAAAGCATAAAGAAAATTAAATTTCCCATCATCCCACCACCCAGAAATAACTCTCCTTTTATTTGATAATTTATATTTTATTTTTTGAAATTTTTATTTTATTGTAACAGGAGATCTGTCCTCTTAATGGGTGTTTAGTGTGCAGTACATTATTATTGACGATAGCTACAGTATTGAACAGCAGATCTAGAGGTTAATCATCTCGCTGGACTGGAACTTGACGCCCATTGATTAGTAGCGCTTCATTTCCCCTCCACCAGCCCCTGGCAACCATCATTCCACTCTTTGAATCTATGAGTTTGACTATTTTAGCTACCTCATAAGTGAAATCATGCAGTGTTTGTCTTTCTGTGACTGCCATCACTTAGCATCATGCTCTCAGGGTTTATCCATGTTGTCACATATTGTCAGATTTCCTTTTTTTATAAAGACTGAGTAGTAGTATGCAATTGTATGGATGTACACATTATCTTTATCTGTTTATCAGTTGATGGACATCTGTGGTGTGGGTTTCTCCCCATCCCTCCCACTTTTTGGCTATTGTGAATAGTGCTGCAATAAACAGAGCAGTGCTGATATCTCTTAGAGATCCTGATTTCAGTTCTTTTTGACAAATACCCATAAGTGGGATTGTTGGATCAAATGATAATTCTATTTTTAACTTTTTGAGGAACCTCTATACTGTTTTCCATACTGTACCGTTTTTCATTCTCACCAATAATATGCAAGGGTTCCAGTTTCTGCACATCTTCACCAACATTTGCCTTTTCTTTTTAATACTTACCCAAGGATATTTTTTCCATTATTATTTTTTTTTTTGAGAGAGTGGGGGGAAGGAGGAATGGGAGAGGGGGAGGGAGCGAGAGACACACACACACATCGATTGTTGCCTCCCGCACGCTCCCTGACCAGGGCCAGGGATCGAGCCTGCAACTGAGGTACATGCCCTTGACCGAATTGAACCCACAACCCTTCAGTCATCGGGCTGACGCTCTAACCATTGAGATAAACCGGCTAGGGCACATAGTCTATCTTTTTTTTCTGGGTACGTGAAATCTTTTATATTTTTATTTATTATTATTTTTTAATATATTTTATTGATTTTTTTACAGAGAGAAAGGGAGAGGGATAGACAGTTAGAAACATCGATCAGCTGCCTCCTGCATACTCCCTACTAGGGATGTACCCGCAACCAAGGTACATGCCCTTGACTGGAATCGAACCTGGGACCCTTGAGTCCGCAGGCTGACGCTCTATCCACTGAGCCAAACCGGTTAGGGCTCTTTTATTTTTTTAAAAAATTAATCCTTATTGTTGAGATTATTACCCATGTCCCTCTTTTTTCCTCCCATAGCTCCCCTCCACCTGGTTCCCACCCCACCCCAGGCCCTCGCCACCCTATCATCTGTGTCCATAGGTAGTGCATACATGCATATAAGATCTTTGTCTAATCTCTTC